AGGTCGGTAAGACAGCGCAGGAGCCGCCTTCCTCGCAGCCATCCTCCCCGGCTTCTGAGGACAGCATCACAGGCGCGTGGAAACTTCGGAACACTTGGAACGCTTCGGCGTTGTTGGATGCTTTGGACTCTGCCAGGTCAGACCACTAAGAGCCCCGAGTCAGACTTCCGCGCAGTGGTGCTCCTCAAGGCTCCAGGCGCTGGAGCTGGGCTTGGGCTCGGGCCACTAGGCGTTTTTTGGGACGAAAGATGTTGGAAAGGACAGTTTGATGGCAGAAAAATTATTTTAAACCGTGAGTGTCGCAGGTGTGAAGGCTGCCTGGGCTTCTGCGACTCTGCAACGCTTGATGGCCGATGCTGACCGTTTCGGCATGCTGATGGCCGACACTTGAGTGATCATCACTTCATAGTAGACTTATTGAGTTCTTTAGAAGCCACAAGGGATGACTTGTAGCAGCTGTTGGACCTCCTGAGCTAGCTTGAAGGATACGCATCTCAATTAGGGAAGCCCCGCGAATGTTGCAGCTGTTTCCAAGCTGCAGCCCCCAGGAAGTACTGGGGAGCGTGCCCCAGATGTGGCTACTTCTGATCAAGGAGGATGAGCCGTTCAGCATGGTCCGGGCAGACCTCGAGGTGCACGAAGCTGCAGACTCTGCACCTTTCCGTTACGATATTTACTATAATTTGACCTATATGAAGTACATTACCTAGATTAGCTATATCAACATATTAACTGTATGAACTGTGTAAACTTCATGAACTATACTAACTATATTAAGTAGATTGAAACTATATTGAGTATATAAACCATGAGCTTTATAAACTTCATAAACCATACGAACTTTACTAATTTGATTAACATCATTCACCTTATTAACTTTATTTTCTTTAATAGCTTTATTACTATACTGGTCACTCCCATAGGAGATGGACATCCCGCGCGACTCTGAGATCGTGGAGAGGGCACGATCGAAGGCCACGCCCCTCAAAGTACAACCTCCACGAGAACATATCGCAACGGGTCACGCGCAGTTCATTGTTTCACGCTCGAGAATCCAACAGTTTTTTGAAAGCCCGCTCGACGTGTTTGGTCCTGGTGAGGCCTCAGAATTGTCCGAGATTGCGCAGCGGCGTGGCTGACAATTGACATGTCAGGTGAAAGACCTGACCAGCTTGCGCCGTGTCTGCTGGCGGAAAATCGCTGTCCAGGCAGTACTCAACAATCCTTCGAATCCGAGGCCCATCGACACGGAATTCATTGAGCTCCGCAAGAACTTGATGTGGCAGGGACCCCAGAAGGTGCTTTTTTCGGATGCAAGCCAGCAGTGTGAAAGAAAGCTTGTCGCCCCTCCATCGAGACTGCAAGCGATGCAAGAGTCCTAGTCGTCCCTACATCCGTAAACCTTGCAATGTGCATCCTACACACTACCGTCCCACCGCAAGCTGAGTAAACCAAGGTCCAGGCCGCGGAGCATGCGGTTTACCTTCCACCAGATTGGGGAGGCTCCTCGAGCCGTGGAAGGGTTGCATTGTCACAGGGATCGGGTGCATGATACTCAACTCACGGCCTGGAAGGTGGCCGGTTCAACTTTACAGTCCTAGTCCACACGGGCAGCGGGATGCGTTCAGCCTTGGCTAGTCAGAGCTCCTGCGAGGTCAATGCTCGCGCCATTGGGGAAGGCTTGGAGATGGCTTACCAGGCTCGGCTCAGACATCAGACACACTGTAGCTTAAGAAAGCTCACAGCCTTGTTTTGGGTCGCAAAAACCCGGCTCCTTCACCCATCAGCATCCCACACAAGACTTGTTGTTTTGTATGTCTGTGTGTCTGTGTGTCTGTGTCTGTGTCTGTGTCTCTCTCTGTGTGTGTGTGTGTGTGTGTCCGTGTGTGTGTCCGTGTCTCTGTGTGTGTGTGTGTGTGTGTGTGTGTGTGTGTGTGTGTGTGTGTGTGTGTGTGTGTGTGTGTGTGTGTGTGTGTGTGTGTGTTGGTGTGTGTGTTGGTCTGTGTTGTGTGTGTTGTGTGTGTTGGTGTGTGGTGGTGTGTGACTGTGCTTTGTGGCCCTTCAGTCACAACGCATCAAAACCCTGGGGCGACGCGGGGGGGGGGGGGGGGGAAGTTTCCGGCCTCCGGCCTCGGAAAGCAGCGATGTCATGGACAGTCGGCAAGGCACCGCATGCACAAATCGACCCACCGCATCTCGAGGAGCACACTGACATTCATTTTGAATCTGCTTTCAGTGCTTGAACATTTAGACAGCCTTGGGTTTTCATGTGCGCATCATCATCCAGGAGCTGAGCATATGGGGCTGTGGCATTGGCCGCTCGGAAATGCCAGCAGCACTGCACACCGCCTTGAATTTGGTGTGTTGCTGCAACCTCGATGAGGCAACGGAGGTGCTGTGGCTTTTGCGAACGCCTTTGCCCTTGGCTGCGGACGAAAACTGCAGACCATCATCTTGGATGACGCTTGTCAAATTGGCTTGCTTGCGTTCGAGAACTACTAAAGCAGCCAGATATCACGTGTCTTCTCCTTCGTGCAGGTCTCAGGCTGGCTTTTTGATTTGGAGATGAGCTAGTTTGAGAGAAAGATGTAGACGAGCAGTATCTTCTACGCCGTCAACTTGTGTTTCACAAGCAGTAGCCTGTTCACGTCTGTTCAACTGTGTTTGTTGACGTCTTGATGCTTGATGTGTTAGAATCGCTCCTTAATGGACGGGCAGCCCACTCGTCCAAGCCTTGGGTATCAGGACAACGACATTGGTGCTGCAGGCAAGTGCCTCCATGCCCATCTCCATGAGACTGCCTCTCTGCAGAGCCTTGCAGAGCCTTGCAGAGCCTTGCAGAGCCTTGCAGAGCTTTTGCGATGTCTAGGATGCTAGAGTTCATCCCCTAGTAGACTCGTAGCATCTCTTGGCCTTTGCCTTGCGCAGCTCGGTGTACCAAAGCATCAGTGGCAGGTGCCACCGCCTTGGGTGCTGGCCTTCAAAACTGCCCCGAGTTGAGGGACCGCATGGGTTCAGGGCGATCAGTAGCCACCAATACCTTCCGTGTTGTACATGTTTTTTTGGATGTTTGTGCATTCGCTTGTCATGTAGTGGTTGTTTAAGACGAGAGAGTCTGCCGTCAGTCTCCGATGTGCTATTGGCATTCATGCTGTTCTCAAAGAGTCTGCACCTTTGTTTGTTTGAGCCCGCCAGGAGCTAAGCCTTCCAAAGAACCCACTCGGGAAAGGTTTCGCATCGCTCCTCTCAGGCACATCGTGTATGCTTCGTTTTTTTGCCCCGAGGGGGGAGACCCAGTAAGACTGCACACGAAGCACGACAGTTCAGCATGGTTCAGCGTCACAATGGAAAAATCTGCCTTTGATCCCCATGGGTCCGTGCAAGGCTCGCTTGCGCACTGTGACTTAGTGGTCAGCTGCAAGGTACAAGCATTTACAAGCAGCATGCTACTGCCCAGTGGGTTTTGAATACAGCGGAAGTGTACCGCCACTCGTGCCCTGATATCGTAGCCTTGGCTTTCTTGAATTTCCTCTTGCGAAGTTCAGGCTGACGTTTAGAGTATGTTAGCTGCGAGTTGTCGTCTAATATTCATTGCTATAAACTAGGATTTGTAGTCGAATGCTATCATTTTTACATCATAACCGGCCTCGGCAAGATCCTTGTGAATTTTCAGGGCCTGAGAGGCTCACGAGTCTGTTTGGGAGGCTGCTTGCAGCGGCGGAACACAATAGACTTTTTTGTGACTTTTTCCTGACTCGGTTTGAGACTCCTGGTGTGACCTTGTTTCCGGCCATTTTCCCATAAGATGACTTTACAATAGAATTTTTAATGATTTTTTTATTTAGCCGATTTCCAGAGCAAGCTTCTAAACGAACGACAGAAGTGTGTGTTTGCAACTGGAAATGAGAGGTCTGGGCGAAACGCTGAAAGTCCTGGACGCCTCAGAGGCTCGACATCCCAGCATGGTATGCGTACTCTGTTGGCACAGTATAGTCTGTAGGAAAAGCCTGCAGGACAATCTCTAGTTGGAAGTGTGCCAATGTGCGAAAATTTTGTGCCAGTTGAAGCTTCCCAGGCGAACTTGGACGACGCTGCAGCACAGGCAGTTGCCGCTGCCGTGCCGCGCTTCCCGCTGCTGAGGCAAAAGATCTCTCCAGTGAACTCATGGGAACATTTGGGAACGCAAGAAGCCGCAGAATGCCTGATGCTGTTGCAGGTGTCTCAGGCTGGCTGGGAATGTCGCGCCTTGGCATGAAGAATTCCCGCTCCATGGACATGATGTCATGGTTCTGGATGCAGCATGAGTTCAATAAATGAAGGCTCTGAGCTTGCTTGGAGTTGAATCCGTTGTTCGATCAATGCTGCATGCGGGAGCCTCGGCATAGTGTGACTGCGCCGTGTTGCCCAGTCATCTGTTAATGCTTCCATCCGATTTGTTTCCAGCTGAAGGTCAAAGACATCCAGCAGGTTGCCATGGCCTTGGCAGATGTTTGTGTCAATGTCCGGATATGATTCTACATGCCTGACATTGAGAATCTGTGTTGGTGCGCGCAGGTTAGCAGAGTTTCATCAGTAGGCGTACGAATTTCTGTGCACAGGATTTGCGTGGGTCTTCAGCGAAACTGGCAGTGGAGTGGCACAGGCTTCGAGTCGTGCAAGCCAACCATTGAAGCTTCATACGCCCTCATGCCATGTTTCTCCATTTCCATGCTGAGCATGGGTAGGCACCAAGGGTATTGGCCATGGTCCACAGAGCTTTTCCAATCATTTAGGATAGAGAACGCAGATGTGCCGGGCTATGAAACCCTCAGCGCACAATTGGCGCAGGCTGATGCAGCTTCTGGAGAGAGGCGGAATGGATCCTCGCAAGCTGCGCTTGTGACAAAAAAGCAGCCACCTTGCAAGCCTCCTTCTGTGAGTATACAAGCAACCGGACCCTAAATATCCACAAAACCCATCCAAACCCTGAAGCCTATACAAAATCCCCCCAAAGCTCCAAGGCCAAGCAATGGAACGAGAGTTCGGCTGCCACTTGACGATCGGCCCGGCCTTGGAGCACAGGGCTGAGCCCTAGCTGAGGGGGAGTGCTCTGCGCAGGCGTTGGCCGGTGTCTGTAGAAGTTATGTGCGGTACATGGCCCTTGGAAGGGACTGGGGACAAGTCTGCTTTTTGTTTTACCACAATCTGGTCTGTATGGCTGACGCGCTTTCTGTCGGAAGAATATTATGGCGTTCACTCTCTTCTCCACCACAAGGACAAAGGAGAGAGAGTGAGAGAGAGTCTGTTCGTAGTAGTGGAAGATGTGGGTCATTCTTGATGGAGCATCATCTGGCAGAATCTAGCAGTAGGTGTTGCATTGCTTTCAACCTTGCCGTGAGTATTTGCAGATGGTCATCTCCTAGCACGAAGGGTTGCAACATGTCAGGCCGGCAACAAGCAGACAAGTATACTAAGTAGAACAAAGTTACAGCGTGAAGCAGTTAGTCTTGTGTCAGCTTCTCGTAGCTGGAGAGTTTGTCGTGTTTCGCAAGAGGTCTGGCTTTTACTACGATGGCTTCTTCGGTGACAGGTGGGCCTTCTTGTTAAATGTTGAATGGCATCCTGCTGAGCACCCGGGTTGCTCAGCCGTGAAGTTACCTTACCAAGGAAGTTGAACGACAATGACTTCTCGGCCATTGAGGGCCATGCGCAGCAAATTAGCAAGGTTCCGAATGTGGGCTGAGTGTGTTGAAGTCCCTGCCAGTCTCTTGAGCTCGCTGTTGTTCGAGCCGGTTGTAGAAATGACATGCCATGACCGCAGTGAGCAAGGCTCTCGTATGATGCGTGTAGATGTGCTTGGCGATTTTTCTTCAAGCGAACGAAAACAACTGAAAGTTTTAGGATGATCTGTATGAGAAAAGATACCCGAGCGGCGATCTCTCCTTCAGAATGCACTTTTCAACTGTCGTGCGGCTTGGACTGAAGCGTCGGCCCGTGACGATGCGGGTCTAAGCAATCAACGACCAGCAGCATCCGCACATCGATGGTTGAGCAGCTGGAAACGGCAAGTACAGGCCCGAGCAAGCGAGATCTGCGGCGAGACCATTCACGGCTTAGGATGACAAGCCAGCGACAGAAACCAAGTCGAACGCTTCGTCCTTCGTGGGTGGAAAAGGATGGAAACAACAGTGCCATGTAATGCATGTAGTGTGCCGCAGGTGCATCCAGTTAATCCTTGTCTCAGTTGCACTTGGACATTTGAAACCGAGACGACTTTGGACACGTGAACAGGAGTCGCAGCCGTTCCAACGCTGTGTCGTCTCAAAGACGGAGGCCCTGTGGCCTCAAGCCAGGTTTTTGTGTGACCGCTGACATGGCATCGTTTGCGGGACATTATAAGGTGACGTGCAAATTCTGAAAGGCTCTGGAGCTGTTCAAGGAGAATCCGTTTAAGGTGGGCTCCGTCCAACCTTGGCATTCAGTACCATAGCCGTGGCTGCTGATGTTGCAGAACAGCGCTCATCTTGATGTTGATGTCGGTTTTGGTTGCCTCACTGTCCCTGTGTGCGGAGCCGGCATCATGTGTCAGGTGCAGCTGATCACGAACAAGGCCGGTTTTAAGGGCTGGTATCGTGACTGCGGGAGCCCTGACATTGTGGCCTACTACATGGTTACATGAGGAATTCCATGCCAGCCTTCAGGGTCTCTAATTAGAGTTGCAGCAGGCAGCAGCAAAGAAATTCAGATTTCATTTGGCCCACACAGGTCCCAGATGGTGCTCTCACGAGCTGTCGAACCGGCCGAGTTCGTGACACCGACTGCGACGCAGCCCCCAATCACCTAAATCATTTAAGCAGTTCGAAGCCTGTTAGATGATGCCAGACCAAACGGCATCTCAGCAGCCTGACATTGGCAACTGGAAGCTCAGCAAGTTCATGACAACAGATCCTGCCAGGCTATCGCTGTGGAGATTTGATCGACCTGTGTCGTGGGCCCCATTTGCCAAACACGAACCGGGCCAAGGCGTGGGTGGCTTGACCCGCCCCCGTACTCCCCCCCCCCCCTAAACACAATGCGTAGCAGCTGAGCTGAGCGGGAAAAGCTGGAGTCGGTATGTTTATGTCTCACGAGCTGTGCATCTTGCAGATCACAGGCCTTTTTGGTGACGAAGAACTCCGCAGCGTATTGGCACGTGCCTTCGTGTCTGGGTTGTAAGCGTGCATGGACATGGACAAGGGGGCAGTTGCACATCACATACATCACCTTACCTGCAACATCTGGCCTTTGAATTCCCTCTCAAGCCGGAAGTGACGTCGTGCGCGGAAGTGCCGACGCACCCGGCTGCAGTTCTTCCAGATGCAAGAGCTTGTGATCCACAAGCTCTGCGGTGAGGTAGTTGCCTGCTTGGATGTGGGCGACATCTCTACAATTGTGGACGCAGATGGAGATTCCATGAAGGCGCTAAAGATGTTCCTTTCCAACGCCGTCCAGGTATCCACATACCGGCAACTCCTGGCTCTCGGATCCCAGGTTTTGCAAGACGCCGATTTGCTGTCGGCATTGAAGCTCCCAGCTTCCTTGCAGCTGGTCATGCTGCCTTTTCTCCCTGCCACTCGCCAAGACCTGCAAGCGATGCAATGTGCAGCTGAAAGTAACGACCATCCCGAGATGCAACGCCTTCTGCATCAACGCATTGACCCAGATTTGAGTTTAACTGGGCACAGCAAGGCTCTACACATTGCAACGACGTTTGGAAGCTTGACGTGTCTTCAGGTTTTGCTTGGGGCTGGTGCCAACATGCAGTCGCTCGACGAAGATGGAAAGTCGGCCTTGTCGCACGCTGCTTCAATGGGCAATGTCGAGATCGCCCGTGAATTGCTTTCTGCCGGTGCCAAGACTGATGCGGCGAGCAACGGAGGGGAGCATCCGCTTTGCATCGCATGCCGCAGAGGCCACCTTGGGGTAGTGCGCGAGCTGCTGGACGTCAGGCTCAGGCCAACAGCATTTCAGAGAATCACCAGGCAGCCCTTGCAATCACCAGAGTCCGATCGGTCTGATCCCATCGCCCCCATGGCCATCCAGCAGGCTCTGCACATCGCAACAGAACTTGGAAGCACTGCCTCCATCCAGTTGCTGCTGCAAGCTCGCGGCGACGTAGAAGCAAAAGACCAGCAGGGCAAGTCGCTCCTGTGCCGTGCTGTTCAACTTGGACACGCGGACGTTGTGCGCTTGTTGCTGCAGGCGGGAGCCAAGACAGATGCCGAGGCAAATGGAGGAGAGCATCCACTTTGGGCAGCGCGCGGGGATGTAGTGCACTACCTCATCGATGCGCATGCCCACGTTCAGTTAGCAGACTCGGCTTTGTGGATAAAGGCTTGTCATGACTATGCACATGACTATGTGGACAATGTGCGTGACTTGGCAACGGCAGAGACTCCAAGTACTACAAGCAGCTCTGAGGCTTCACCCGTGTGGATGGCATCTTGTTAGTGGTACCTAGAATGACGCAGGCTTTGCCTGAATGCTGCGCTGACGTGGCCCATCATATCCCCGGAAGGGTGCACCTGCACATGCTAGTTTTTGATGCCGGTGTGGGATATGAGATGGCATGGCCTCTCTGTTTTCCAAGAGGTTCCAAAGAAGGAAGTCCTGTGGTCCATCTCATATCCCCAGGGCTCTGCAGCAGCAGGAATCAGAATAGCTGACGCCTTGGAAGGCTTGAAGTGGCCTTCCAAACACTTTTTGCTACCTTGCATGCTCAAATCATTCATGCTTAGATTTCCTGGAAAACATTCTGGGATCTATAGGACCAGTTCCTTAGAAGGGGGCAATGGCCGTCTCCTACCGCAGATTTTGGTTCAGGTCTGATTACCTCGGAGGGGGGCCTCTCAATCCTACCACCCTATACAACCCCTATGTACACTCTACAGGACCCCAAGCAAGTAGACCCCCAAGACGGCCCCTTACAAAGGAAGGGCCCCTCCGTCGGTCCCACGCTATCCTTGACTCTTCGTCTGTTCAGGCTCGGAGATGGCTGCAGACGCATATCCCTTTTCGGCGTGCATCTTATAAAGGCTGCACAAGCAGCCTCCACGACCACCCCCACCTCGTGGCGTCGAGCAAGTTTCGTGTCACGGCTGGGGGCGTTCATGGGGCGAGCCCGAGCCTTAGCAAGGCCCTACAAACGAGGAGCAAGTCCCAGCAATCAACAGTTGCACGCAACTGGCAGATAGAGATAAAGCGGTGCGGAGAAAGTGATGGAAAAAGTGACGCCGAAGTCCAGTCCAACCCCAGTCCAACCCCAGACCAACCCCAGACCAGCCCGCGCCCTGAGCCTCCATGAGGCCTCGGGGTGGTTCAGCGCGGTAGGGCGGTTGATTGAGGCTGGGCGATCAGAATTTGGACTCTCTTCAGCGCCTCTACGGCATTGCTTTCCCCAACGACAAGCTGCTGAAGGACGTGTGCGACGACAAATTGGGGATGCGGGGGGGGGGGGGGGGGAAACGAGGGGACACCAATGGGACACACACTCTTCACAAAAACCATGTTGGCATTCCTGTCGCTTTTCCGGCTAGCGCCCGGGTGAAGGGCCGTAAGAGCAGTGTAGAGCCTGGACGGAAGGGGGCAGTGCGGTGGTGTCGTGTGTGAGGGCGGTGAGGTGGCGGGGGCGTTGAAGCCCCCTGTAGACGGGGGGGGGGCGTGGTAGGGATGTGAAGGGATGTGAAGGGGTTGATGTGTACGTTTTTTGCGCGGGTGGAGGGTCGGGGTACTCGGTTGGGGGATGATTTGGGGGGGTGGGTGGGGAGGTTGGCTGATGAGGGGCAGTGGCAACCCTGAAATCGGTTGGAAAGGACAACCCTGAAACCGGATTCGGGAAGGGTCAGCAACAAGCGCGTGGGTATTTGAAGGGCCGTAAGCATTGCAAAGCTGTGAAGGGGGAAGGGCGCACGTCGGTGCTGTGGGTGAAGGCGGGTCGCTGAAGCCCCTTAACATAGACGTCGCGGGCTGAAGCTTGACAGAGTAGGTGGCCTAGCAGCGCCGGTGACGGTGGTGGGAGCTTGCTCTTGGTGCGGAGGGGTGGGGGGGGGGGGTGGGCGGGGGGAGCTGTCTGGTTAGTTGGGGTTTGTTTTCGGTGTGGGGGTGGGGCGGGGATGAGGATGAGGGTGTGAGTGTTTCTGTTCTGAACCTTGACGCACGACCATCTGCAGCCATTCTTCATTGACCTCGATGGTGCAGGAGTACAAGAAGTTCCAGGAAGAAGCGGCTAAGCGAGACCACAGGACACATCTTTCTTTGACCACGGTCGGTTCTCTAGATAAACGATGGTCTTGTGTTGAAAGCCTAAGCAAACGGCCCAGATAAAAACAGGGACCCCGAAAAAGGGACCTTGGTGTCAGGTTACCATACTGGGTTGTTCGAATCCATCGGTGGGGGCCAGGGACGTTCTTTGACACCCGGAGTAGTTTAAAGGTAACCCCCGCGCCTATCGACCCTGACGGTGACACCCGTCACCTTCTTCCGTCGCTTTTGCATCCCAATTGTTTGCCCTGTAATGAGACCATGTGCTGCGAGGGCAGCTGCTGATGCAAAGCGCCAAGAGCACTTGTTTCACCACCGCGTGGCAGGAACATCGGCAAAGCACAAGAACTCTTCATGCGGCGACCTCAGTCGACAAGAACACAGAGAGGTGTGAAACATCTGAGGCATCTGAGACATTTGAGACATCTGCCCTGCCAGGTTCCACCCCGTGATGTCGCCCGGCAGCTGCTTCTGGTTCCCCCTTGGAGCGAGGACCTTCACATGCTCTTATGCTCTTGAGAGCCTGCAGCCATCCATGCTCCCATAAAAAGAGAGTCTGCAAGGATCTACAACAAGCTTATGGACTTTATGCGTTCGGAGTACCGCCTGCGGGGTTTCTCCGTGGGGGCCTGAGGCATTCACTTAATTCACTTCAGGGACTTCAGAGCCAGAGCTACGTCGTTGGCTTCTTTCCATCCAGGCCTTCGAGCTTCAATCAGGTTCATGCCGAAACGAAACAAGTAGAAGCGCCTCAAAAGAACAGCTCTGCGATTCGTATCTCTCGAAGGGTCCTGCTTTGTCATGGTTTGCGGTGGTGCAGCATACGCGGCGGCATATGCATGCCATGTCAGTCGATTGCAATTCCCTCTTGTGTCTCGAGTGTTAACAAACATAGCTAAATCGAAAGATGGCACATCGAGTAGCGGCTCATGATGCGAATGTGCTGACCGTCCGTGGTCTTGTTGCATCCGGCTGCTTCTTGGGAGGCCTACTTGTGTAGCATCGAACCCCAGCTGTTTTTTCAAGGTTGATGTGAAAAAATAGCTCCATCAGGTGTGGTCTCGTCGGTGTGGCATGTAGTTGGGGAAGTGTTTACTGTATCGACTGACTCGATGTGAGTAATTAAACAACCTAGATGCCTCGGACTTCTAAATGCCTGGTGGGCCGTTAGATTGTTGTAGTGTTGATCCCAGGTGTTTTTAAATATAGTTTTCTTTCACCACATGTCTTAGAGTGATTTTTAGGTCATAGCAGCCAGAGGCCGTCACAAACCTTGATTTCTCAGACCTTAGGGACTTTGGGATCCTTTGAGCCCTCTGGCATCTGCTTGCCTCAGCTGCCTTGCCAAGGAAGTCGTTACGCCCAATATGCACCTTGGCACTTGACCAGCGATGAGTTTGATATACTCTGTGACGTACTAGCGCCGCAAGAGGCATGTCGTGAGATGTCGTGTGTGTGTGTGTGTGTGTGTCTGTGACTGTGTGAATGTGTTAATGTGTGAATGACTTTCAGCTCTTTGAGGGTGTGATGGGACATCGTCCATCTGTAGAGTCCCGGGATCATCAACACAGCTGAGCAGTCCTGTGCATACCTGCCTGAGGTATGACTCCCGATGCTTCTTGACGTCTGGCCACTACCAGAACTACAAGGCATACCTTGCGATCGCTTTCGAAGGTTGCTTTGCCGTGGTGCCACGGCTGGGATGCACAGAACCCTAAACGCCCTAAACCCTAAACCCCAAGCCCTAAGCCCTAAGCCCTAAACCCTAACCCGAAACCCGAAACCCCATGCCCTAAACCGTATGCCCTAAACCAGACGAAGCCTCGGCAGGATGACATGTACAGCTTGGACGTGGAGAAACAAGAGCAGCGGCCTCAAAGCGTTTGCTAGTTCCATTCGAGCTTCCCCCCACTCTTGCCACGCGTCTTTCCACGGATGGAGAGGTGGATGCTGAAGCCCATGAACTGCCCTGGTCACTTCCTCATGTTCGATGCCAGAGTCAGGAGCTACAAGGCAAGGCAAAGCTGCTATGTCAGAGAGATGATGCGTGGAGAGGCATGGAAGCAATCAGCTGAGCAGTATTGAAGGAGTTGCCCATGCGCTTTGCTGACTTCGGCGTGCTGCACCGAAATGAGGAGCAGTTGTAGCGTCTCAGGAAGATTTGCCATGCGCATGCGGGCAGCGTAGCTGCCATCAACAGAATGCACACGCCGAAGTAGTTCGAGCCGAAGTGAAATTGGGAGGCTTCCGGAGCCCTCACGGGCCTGACGCGTGTTCGACGATTTCAGCAAGATGCCGGGTGCTTGGTGCACTTGGATCATGATCACAACGTTTCTTGTGACCAGATCACGGTTTAGCCACGCGAACCTGAGGATGCACACATCTTCTGCCGCCCGGAACAGATCAAGTCCGAGGTGTCAGGTGGGGTTTGAAACGGAGTGTCGCAAGAGCTTTCAAATCCTGGCTTGCCATCCCCAGCCGCGCTGGACTTCTTGGACTTTGTTTACAAGATCTTCGGGTTTCAGGCGGGCAAAGCCTTTCAGAGTTTCAGCAATGCTCACCAAACATGGGCTCCTCCGCACCCTCCGGGTCTTCGAGGCCAGCTACGCCCTCTCCACGAGGCGCTTGGGGTTTCGGGCCTGTTAAACCCTAAACCCCCAAAACCCGAAACCTTAAACCCTAAACCCCTAGAAGGGGTTTTAGGGATGTGATGACGTGGTTGGCATGGGAGTTTTGCGCCAGGCCAAAGAAGGCGCTGGGATCCAAGGAGATCTGGGACAACGCTGAGGTCCAGCTCAAGGTGGGAACTCTCAGACTCCTCGCACCATCAATCGCCATCAACACATGGGAACGTGGCAGCTGTCACCCTACGTGTTCAGGGGTTCGGACACATGACGCCCGACTCGACACATGAGTGGAATCTGGAGCATTGATGAGCCTCTGGAGCACTCTTGACTGCCTTACTGTAGAGTCTAGAAGTGGAGCTGAATCAGACTTGCAGCTACTCTTCGACCCATGGACTTCACTGCTGGAGTCGTGGGGAAAGGGGGGGGGGGGGGTGGTCGCCGCCGAGTCTTCGTCCCATGCCGTTGCCTCCAGCAGCCTTCTCCCCCAAGCTCCTCACAGGAGCTACAACTATTCCCAGCCTCGCCCGAGTTCCCAACAAATTCCAGGGCTCCACTTGTTACAGCCAGGCCGCGGCCGTCATTGCCCCGTCGTTTCGAATTGGAAGCCAAGTAAGATTTCCATATCACTGGTTGATGATGCAGCAAGGTTTGTCGACCAACTCTAGGTGTTTAGGCTCATGGCATATGGCTGCAGGATGTTGTGGATGGCTAGAAATTCGGATCTGAGCATCAGTCACTCCTGGCCGCCCTGCAACTTGAAAACCTGGCAGGCGGCACTGGATGAGTCGGGACGAGAGTGGCCAGAGGCTCAGGCACTGGTTTCCCACTTGTTTGCCCACTTGTTTGCCCCTCTGTGACGCTCAGGTCGCTGAACCCTGGAGATGGTGCCTTCTACGGCCGCCTCAGCTGCAAGTGCTGACTAGAAGGTAATGCCGGCGTTCAGTATCCAGAGCTTTGCTTAGCCATTAGGCCCGTTAGGCCCCCTCCCCCCCAACTACAAAGATCTCCGGGCCGACCATGCCTTGCTCATGCCTTGCTCACTTCGCCCTTGCCGGGCCTGGGCCAAAAGCTTGAGTCCCCAAAGAGGCCAGAATAGTTTCCTCGACGACTTGGTATTCACCACGTGACAACGCGGTTGCTGCCATGCCTTTCCAGGTCCCAAGATTGACATCAGGCCGAAGGGCGGGTGATACTATCGGCTAAGAACTGCTTGACTAGAATGACTAGAGTGACAGTCTGCTGGCAAGAAAATCCTAAGGCACGAGAGGGACAGCTGGACAACATGGTAACACTGTTGCCCTTCTCTGTGCATGTAGTTAACTGGCACCACGACCTGGACATCAAAGTGGTGTTGTTGTTGTGCGGAGCAGGCTGCAGGATGCAATGAAGAGAAAGCATCAGTGCGGAACGCCTCTGACTCAGCACCGGCGTTGCAAACCAGCTGATTCGAGAAGAAAGGTACTTCCATGTCAGTGAAATGATTGACACTCGACCAGTGCGACCAGCGACCTGTGTGAATCTTCCTGCCGAATGAAGGCATCGTGGCCCAACATGGTTGAAACATGCACCGCAGGGCTGCAACACTCTAGACTACCAGAGATTCTCACATTATTCACCTTCAGAACTACGCAGTTCCTACCGGGAACAACGTTTTCAGTTTTTTTGGGCCTTGCATCGGCAAAAGCGCCGGTTTAGTGAATTAGCGACAGTCGCCATGCAATCGTTGCGAATCTGCATGCTGTCGGGTGAGCCTGTGGCTACATTGTCTGCAAACGAGCTTGAGGAGCTTTCTGAGAGTTGCAGCGCCTCAGTGAAATCCCTGAAGCAGTACTTGCAAAGCCGCCTTTTGCAGCCCAGATTCCGAATGCAGTTGGCACATCATGGATGCCTGCTGCCTGATGACGAAAGGATTGAGAACTTAGGGGACTTGAAGATGTCCGCAGAGATGCCCACAGATCTGCAGTTGATCATGTTGCCACTTAGCCGTGGAAGAGCAGAGGAGCTTGTAGAGGCGGCCATCACAGCGATGACTGATGAGGTCGAGGAACTTTTGACAGCGCGCCAAGATCCCAACGAAACCGCTTGGGTGGGCAGCACAGCGTTGGTGGCTGCTGCTGGCAGTGGCCGAATGAAGACCATATCAGCTTTGATAGATGCTGGAGCAGACAGAAACCAGACAGACCACAATGGTCGAACCCCGCTGTGGGCTGCTGCTGAGAATGGCCATCTTGAAGCCGTCCGATACCTCATCGCAATTGGGGTGGACACTGAGAAGCCCGACAACCACGGATGCTCTCCTTTGTCCGCCGCAGCCGAGAACGGCCATCTCGAAGTCGTCCGCTGCTTGCAGGAAGCGGGTGCCGCCGATGAGTTACAGTGCAGCTTCTGGCTGTCAGAGATGTTGTCAGCCCTGCTTTGTGCCCCAGACACGATCATGCTGAGCACAGGGCGCAGCCTTTCCTGCCTCGTTGCTCAGATGATGCGCTGGAGGCTCTTCACCGGTGCGTGAGAAGCAACTGCAGCCGTCGAAATCAGATTGCAGGACCATGGGGTTGGCGAAGTACTTCTTGTGCTATTAGGGCCGAAGCGCCACTTGCCAGGCGAGCACGGCATCTTAAGGCCATAAGGCCATGGGGATGCTGAGTCGAACTGTTCTAACCTGTCAGCGGATAGATTGTAGGTTTCACCACTCTCGAAAAAGACGCATGTATTCCATGTGCGTGGGCATTCCATGTGCGTGGGCCTCCTGGCGGTGGATGTTCAACGGGTTCTCACCGCCACAAGACGCATTTTTTTCAAAGGAGGCCTTTGTAATTCGGCTTGGATTTAGATTTAAAGCGGCCAAGCGGAGGCAGACCTTCACTAACCACGCACAACTTCAGAAAGCAAGTGCTCCGTTCTGTGCTCATGGCTGCGGATGCCGGTCTACAAGTAGCACATGCCCTTGAAGCACCACTGGTTGTCATCTGTCACAGAGCTCTTTCCGGCTGCCAGCTCAGGATTCAGTTGGACTTCAATGGCCCCATCAGGCACACCGTGCATTCAGGAGACAGGATTGATGCTCGTCGAGTTGAGCCGTCAATATCCTGAGCCAGCTTCTTCCTGTGCCAGCATTGGCACAGCATGCCAAGCTACCGCCAAACTGTTTGAGTCATAGTCAAACTGTAAGAGAGCCGACATGGACTTGCGCCAGGTTCAACCTCCAGTATCGAAAGGAGGGCGTCGAGGAAGGAGTGGATGATGAGGCGGGGAAGTGAAGACGTCCCTGTCCCCCATGATGTTCAAAGCACGATTCCGTGGTCTTCATGCGAGTTCTGAACTGATCGCATCCACTACACTGCAATATGCAGGAGAAGGGCGAGTCAGAGTCCAAGATGCGCCCATTCAGTCCAAGCAGTTACTGGGAAGCTGTCAGAATTTCTTGACGCTGCAGGTTCAAGGGCGCAGAGGAGAAGAATGCAAAGGGCGAGGTGGGCTGCACAGCTCTTGCGAATCAGTTCATGGCGAGAGTGTTGCGCTGCGCGGCTACACCATCTCCCAGCTCGACAATTCTGAGCACGGTGCGTGACAGCTCACGACTACTGCTACCTTTTTGTTTCTAGTGAATCGGCTACAACGAAGCAGCATGCTGGCTTGAATGCATTGCGCGTTCATGCCGGACAGGCATGATGTGCCTAGACGTGTGGTTGTTCGTGGCGTGGTGGCCACAGTAGCATCCGTGACAACCTTGTGCCAGACGCCCGCCCATCAAAGAGAAGGATGAGGTGGAGAAGAACATAGAAGAACCACAGTAGCGCTACCACCGAAACGACAACCTCTGCGTGGTTTAGCATGGCTATCATGATGCATCGCCGCAATCGTAAGGGCTCAGCAGCTTCTGTCAGTTCATAGCTCCACAATTGAGGAGCCTTGAAGGCCATGGGTCGTCAGTTGCATCCGCAGGGTTGCGAAAGAGTTGTGCCTTCCAGCAGAGCAGTGTTGCCGAGCCGGGCAGTGGCACCAGTGTTGAAGGGTGCTTCACAAGAAAGATACAAGGGCCTGGGCCATCTCAAAGCAGAAGGCCCACGTTTCCACAGAACTCCAAAGAAGCGTGTAGCGGAAGGTCATGTCCGCCGTCTTTAAGCGCATTCCTATCGGCGGCAGCGCGACAATCTTCAAGGCAGCATGGGAAGAGTTGACCGGAGCGTACGTGACGAGCCATTCACTCACATGCTCTGGTTACGACTGTTACAGACACCACTGAGTAAGGTTCTCTAGAGCATGTGACCGGCTGACCCATGAACCATGTGCAGGCTGTAAAGAGCTACCGCGGTGGGGTGGCGGACGTTGCCCCGGCCATCTCAAAGGTCTCAGCCCATCAGCCAAGACTATGATGGTATTTGATGTTTTTTGTGATGGTCTTTGGAGGTATTGAAAGGTCTTGGATGGTTGGACCAAGGTCTTTGTAATCAGTAAGATCGAAAAAGCTTGCTTGCTTGCTTGTCGTGTTGGTTTTTCGCCCCAGCTTAGGATGTTTGAACTTCGGATCTGCCGCTGAGACTGTCTTGTGCCGTTTTTGAGGTCGAGACAGCGTTGGCCAGCGCCGACGCCTCAGAAGGTTTTCGCTCAATCCGCGTCGCTATGTCCGGCTCATTTCTGTCTGTCGCGAAACACAGGCAAAGACAAAGGTGGCTTTCCTGGAAGTGGAGTCTTGGCTAGACTCCGCATTTCAGTTCATTGACTGCTCCGCAAGTGCATTGATGTATAGATGTGTAAATGGTGTCCCAGGACACGCTGAAAGGTCTCCCGGTGAAGAAGGATGTTTCCATCAAGACAATCGACCCGTATTTCGCGGCATATATTCGTGATGCTACTTGGCAAGTCGCCAAGCTGTGATGCTCCAGCTCGTTCGCCCCCAGCATGTCAGGAATCAGCCGTCAGGAAGCCTTGCAGCTCTGGGAAAGGGGGTTCGACTAGTGATATTGGATTGTACTAAATGTATTAGATGCTAACAATGCAAAACAGCAGGAAGCGGCGTGGCTAACAGGTCATTGAACTTCACGTCATACTCCGAAGTGGCCGAGCCCTAGATCGTAAGTCCAAAGTTCCAGCACGGTGCATGCACATGCGGACAATATATGCACATGCGGACCTACACATGATGCTGCGACATAGCGAGCGCGAGCGCTACCTGTCGAAGCGATCCTGCCAATATCCTGCCCGTGTGAATCCTACCACGAAGTTACTTGAGCTTGTCTGGCCAAGGTTAACAGTGCTTTCTTTGGCAAGTGATCAGCTTCACATCAGAGCTCAAAGCTACGTGGCGAAGCACCGTCCCCTACAAGTTGCTAGACCAACACTGTGGCCAGAGTTGTGGACTTGCAGAAAGGTTGAGAAGCATGAAGACATATGAAGACCATGCCTTGCAGAGGCGCCTTGTGCTCAGGCAGCTGCAGATGCCACAGAAGACCATGGACTGAGCTTTGCGGAGTTTGTTGACTACCCCACTCTACAGTGACTACAGCCTAGGCCGTAAGACCATACTATGTTTTGGCAACGCGTTGGTTAGCCACTAGAGTAGCGCCACTAGCCCTATCCTGCTTCACATTCCCATGATGCTTCTCGCGGGCCAGAACATGCACATCATGCAAGGGCGTTCAACTTGCGGACCTATGAGGGGAGCATCATGTTTAGAGTAACCCCAGAATCATAAACAGCTGCCGACGGTCGCAGGGAAGCAGGAGGCTGTGCCCGAAGATGTCTTGATCATACATGATTTTTGGGACGATAGCAAAGGCACGGCGGAAAACTGCGAGAAACATGCATCATTGACTGCTGGCCTGCACTGCACCCCTGTGATGCCGTGATTCAGTGCTGCGTCGGTCGTTTCCTAAACCCATTTTTCCTGCAGCGTTTGCAATTGCACATGGTTCCATAAAGCTGCCCCACAGAAGCAGAGCAGCCAGCGGGTGAATAGGTTGCTTGCCATATTAGAAAAGCTCCTCCTAAATATACAGGACACAAACAAAGCGTCGTTCAACCAAGCGCCAGCGTGACATCGCCATGTCATCAGTGGGGCTCCTCATCGCCCGATCTTCCGAGAACTTTGAAGATGTGAAGTCTGCTTACAGCACGCTGCTGGTCCATAAGCAGAGCGTCGTCATCCCTTCCACAGGAGGACTGGCTCCGTCGCACGAATCAAGAGCGAACTAGGATGCAAATTTTGGATAATAGTGTCAATCTTCTCTGACTGACGAACTGTAGAACCCTGGGACCTTGATCTTAAGTAAGGGGTTGGTGGAATTCCCGAACTGCCTTTGCCCTGCGAGGTGCGAGCGTCCGCACAAGCTCCCTGAATCTGGTGCCACCTCTTTCTGGGATGTGCATTATGAAGGGGGGAGGGGGGGGGGGGGGGGGGGGGGGGGGGGGGGGGGGGGGCCGGTTGCAGGGGTCACAGTATGTTGCAGGATTCGGGGTGAGTTCAAATCTCAAGGGGCTAAAGGTGGGACTGTTACTGTACAAGGGGCCATAGGGGTAATGTAGGAGCTACTTAGGTATATAGGGACGAAATAAGGTATGTATCGGGGTTATTTAGGGGAGTAAGATTTCAATGTCCATTCTAAGGGTCCCTCCTTATGCCCCTTTAACATACCGCTCAACATGTTCAATATGTTCCGTCCCTTGCTGTCACTTTGGGGCGAAGCCCAAATTGCAGGTTCTTTCGACCATCGGAGTTGGTGCATTGACACTGCCATGGACAACAGCTTCCGTGGGCTGGCTCCAGCAGCTCACCAGGATTCAGGTTGAAGCTTAAAGCAGTGTAAAGAGACAATGAGGGTGGAGCAGTTGCTGCAGGGTGATAGTAATGCCACAAAATAGGCGCATCTGCGAGGCTGCAGACATAGGCAGCCTCACCCCGAGAACCATGTCAACAGTTGGGACGCCAATGCTATCGCAGCATCCGCCTCATGTGGGGGTGCGAGAATGGCCATAAGAGCAGCTGCAGTTCCGGACTCGTCGCCCTTGCATGCACCGCTCCGAGTCGGGCTTGGCAATCGATCTGTATGTCGGCAATACTGGAGCTGGCACAGTGCCTGCATCATTGTCTTTAGCTTCGCCTCATGTGCGGTGTGCTGGCCTAAAAGGAGCTAGAGACCGCGCTTTTCCGACCTCAGCCCTCACCCAGACTGAACCACAGCGCGCCGGGCTCACACCGCAAGATGCGCGCTGCAGGGGGTGTCGTGCAATGTGCATGCATGAGCTAGAGCCACTGTATGCAGCTGCAAGTTTCGCATGAGCTTGGCCGAGGGTGGCGTATCCGACTTCCTGCCTTGGCAAGTAGAGTTGTGCACCGGAACACGAGCACATGCAGCAAGTGCCGAGTGCAGGATAATCATACAAACTCGGGGAATTCGCTAGACCCCGCGAACTGTTGGAAGAACAGGCGGGTGGGGCGAAAATTCGGCAAGTGTCGAATGGAGACATGGAGACCCTCAAGGAGGCCAACAGTGGCCCTTCCCCGTCCGGGTTGCCGCAACACTGCCAGTTGAGCCGACCGCACAAAACACGTCAGGCCGTACTCTCCCCTTTTCTCTGGGGACGAGAAGAGGATACACGTTGAATAACTGGTAGAGGCAGAGTGAGACAGGGGTTATCTACTTCACGACTGAATAGGTTAACTTCTAGAGACGGAAGTTACTTAGAAAGGCTACCACATGGAGAAGTTACGTAAGTTACCAAGACACCGTGCAGGGGTACGCCTAATTGCACGACAACAGACTGATGGCAGGACTCATAGATTTGGGACTGAATGTCCCCACCCAAGGAGTGGCATGCTACTGGTAGCATTCTTCTTCGTGAAGCTTGTCTGCAGGGCACTGGGTGAAAATTTCAGACAGCTAACAACTGCATGGGCTGTGCACACGAAAAGCACACAGTTGGCGCCCACTCTGAGGAGCATCTACAATCTGTACCTTTTGGACGATGTATGCCGCTCCCTGCCAAGAGCTGCGGATGCCGGGCTGCTTGGCCTTGTCCCAAACTACTATTTCTTTCAGTTTGGTTCTGAGACTGGCCCTGTCTCTTTGGTTTCGAAGTGAAAGAAGGTCTTACGCCAACATGGTTGCAGCAGCTTTGGGCAAGCCTGGCGCGCCGTTCGGCTTCAATCGGCTTCACACATGTAGGCTGTGCTCATCCCAGACTTCATGAGCTGGCTGACCCCCTTCACTGCAGCTTTCTAGTGTGAAAACGTCTTGGTGGACTGACTAGGTACTTGGTTTCAACTATCGTTTCGACGCACTTTGACATGACACGCCTGCAACACAGCAAGCACGAATGTGTGCATTCCGTGTGTCTAAGGTATGCGCTGGAGATGTTCATGCAACTTGGACTTGGTGAATCTTGCACACTCAACCGGATGCCCAAATCAGAATTTTCCATAGTTGGAGCCAACTACACAGCGCTTGAATGCATCTACCTACATGGCCTCAGAACTCGCAGTGAAGCACCAGGCCGCAAGCAGCACACAACCTGAGCGTTCCAGCTCCTTACTCTGATAACTTTGTCTAGGGGCACGGTACTCGAGGTGTTGCCGCCGAAATCATTACCAGATTAGTTCACACAGGTAGGGAAAGCATCCGTATTGGCCGCTAGGCTCCTCTACAGCTTCGGCCTGTCTGTGTCATATCTGGGAGTCGTTGGCTCGGAGGCAAGGACGGTGGAACTTGAAATGGAAAGGGGGCTTCTGCATGTGAGCAGGGAGATAAGGACCAAACATTGGTTCATATTCTTGCGTTGCGTCTGCAAAAAGAACTCCAGTGTTTGAGACGCTTGTGGCCCATGATAGGCGGCCGTGTTCATGCAGATCTTTCTGGGGACTGCATCAAGTGAGGTCCTTCAGAGGACAGCAAGCGGATGCGGGCTGAAAACAACGCAGAAGCTTTATCTTAATGATCATGCCTCCAGGAACTTGATATCGGCAGTGGCAATCTTCATTGTGCTGCCGCTCTCACTCCTCCCTGACCCTTGTTTGCAGCAGTGTTTGTGTAAGGGGCTGTCCCTGCGAGTGCTCGGTGTTTTTTTTTACTTCAAAATCGTGCCTTCAGTCCTTAGCAAGCTTGCTTCGATGTCGCTAGCTACTAGGGCAACATAGGGTATCAAGTCCAATGATGCTGATGCTGCTGGTGGCGGTGGTGGTGGTGGTGCTGGTGCTGGTGCTGCTGCCGGTGATGATTATGATGATGACGATGATGATGATGATGATGATGGTGATGGTGATGACGATGCTGTTGATGGCGCAATCTCGGTTTTTTTTACTTGCAGTTGCCAGTCCATCTGGAGCCAGGACACTTTGCTGCGCCTGTCTGGGGCCGTAGGAACCTTCTGCACCTTGGCTTGTATTGCTTGTTGCTTGTTGGATGTTTCTGAGTGACCACCGCATCCGCACCGGTTTGCCTTACATTTGCAACTGTTTGCTCCAAAAATGTTGACTTGTCCGCGTGACCTGCCCAAGGCATGATCTTGACCACAATCATCGTGGCTGCTCGGATCTTTTGTGGCACTGTAGCCTTGCCATTTGCTGTGCAGTCCTGTGCAGTCCTAGAAAACAGCTAGCCGCAGCTACTGTAGCAGCTAGCTATATGCGACCGCTGTCTCCATGGAAGCAAAATCGAGGTTTGCATGGTTCCATGGCAAGCTTCCTGGCCCTTTGTGGCCTTTTGCAACGATGCTTTGGCTGAGCACTTGCACGCAGGCGAGTCGCGAGTTGCTCCTCAAAGAATGTGAAGCAGATCAAACGCGGGGATGTTGATCCCAAGGCTTAGGCCCGCCAAAATCCTTCCAAGGCAACTTGGAGCCAGTGAGATGGGTTTCATCGCCCATCGCACTCCTGTCCGCCGTGCCGATGTTCAGCTTTTGTATGAACGCACCTGGGCTCTGCAGAGCCCGTGGCTTCAGACATTTTCGGTGCTGTTCTACACGTCTCCATCCTCGCATCCACCGAAAGCTCAAAAGATTTCACAAGCAAGGCTGCCACCGCGTTCGTATCCATCCGCTCGGAGATGGTAGCGCAGCAGCTTGGCTTTATGGAACTACTTTGCATCGCAAGGCCACGCAGCATACTGTAGCGCTGGGCAGAAGGAGCAACGCACTCGACGTGCAATGTTGTTCGTCTTGATATGACATGCCACGCAGGAAGTTTGCAAACATTCAGCCGCACCGCAAGGACGTGGTCGCATTGACTCTCGGTTTGGAACAGCAGCAGCACAGTTGCTTGCGTGCTTCAGAAATGCCTCGAATCAATCTGAGGATTTGGCTGGCACAGACATTTGCACTGGTGGACTACATGGCCTTCCGTCAAGCATACGTTCTCAGGCTTTGCGGGTCGTTGCCGGAGCCATCGTATGTGCGCAGGAGCATTCCCGAACAGTCGTCCAACAAACGCACATGTTTTCGCTCAGGTATCCGCTGCCGCGGGTTATGTCGCATTCTGCGGTGCGGCTCCGGATAACGTTCTTGATGGCCGCGGGCTGAGACTGCCAAACTTTGCCGAGACCAGTGTCGAACGCAACTAACGACAGGCTTCCCGACCAGCCACGCGCCAAGCCTTGTGGCTCGATTAGCCCTGGCACTGCAGCTGGCAGCTGCTTGTGCAGGACCTTGCTGCTCGTGCAAATATGTGCAAGTTGCCGAAAGAGTTTTGCACTCTTGTAGCGACCGACCTCGGCAAAAGGAGAAGAGTCACTGGCCTCCTTGTCGCTTCCTGTCTCGTGCACCTGCCATCAGTTCAAACCTAATCACACCCCACACGCTCCACTCCTGTCAGCCTTGGTCGCTGCCGATGCTTCATCAAAGCTGCGCTGGAAGGTAACTAAAGCGAAAACTTGTGGAATCCCGCCTTTTTGGGTCGATCCTGTTTACACGACGTAAACGCGGTACTGCAAAGCTGCAATGCTAGGCGAACACGTCTGCTTCAGGAGTCTACATCCCGCTGGCGCGAGCGGCCCTCTGCCACCTTTGGTTCGGTGTCAGCTCAGATGCGCCGCGAGGTGTTGTTGGGCTGCAACTCTGACATATACTCTGACAATCATCTACAATCTTCAGATGGCTTTTCGAAGAATCACCAGCGTGATATGAGCCAGGAGTTTCCCGAATCGTCTCGACTGCTGTGCTGGTTGCCTTCATGGTCATGGTGGCGAGGCTCGCTTGTGGTTTGTCCGATGCGCCTTCACAATTGCAAAGCAGCCTTCTTACAGAGCTGCATCATTTGATGTGCGAGTGGTGTCCCTCAGAGCGCTGGACGGGGCGCTGGCTCTGCCTCTGGGCCTTACCAGTGCCGTCTGCACCACGGCGATCATGCTTCTTTGCTTGAGGTGTTTTACTTGTGGTCTCACAGGAGTCGCACGTCTTATTGAGTCCAGGCTTGATGAACTTGAGCTTGCAGACACCGAGTGCAAGCCGATTGTCCGAGGTTTGTGTTCCCTGGTATGTGCGCAAGCTGCGTCCACAAGTCCCTCTGGGGCAAGGCCCTGTGTGTCTGTGTCAAGGGAATGAGTTGGACAGGTGGGATTGTCAACATAATGGCAACGTGTCTCCATCTCTCAAGAAGGTCCTACCGGTGACCTTCGCAGTGGCAGGGCTCCTCATTGGCACTGCGTCGACCTTGACGCTGCTGATCGGCTCCGGCATTGTGCGGTAGGAATCGGTTGCGGCCGCTTGGGCAACCTGACTTTTGTTGCACGATAGAGAGGCAGACCTGCGAGTAGCCAACACTGGGCAAATTATGTGTCAGTTAGGATCTGTCATATGAAGTTGCAGCTTCTTCCTAATGCCTTACTCACAGTCTGACTTCGGTGGTGTTCAAGTTAAGCAGAGCACCTTTCGATGGAGCTCGTGCACGAAGATGAGAGGAATGCGTGAGCCAGAGCGCTCTACCTCTACGTGGGATTGACCCTGCTTGTTCTGCTTATGGTAGGAAAAGCTGTGCGCTTCAGTATGCCGCTTCATTGCTTGCAGTTGGGTTAGGCCCCCTTCCCCGCCATACAGCAATACCAAGTCCGATTTACAATTGCAGCCCTGGTCTTACCCTAGTACGCCACTGTTTCTCATGGAAGCATATCCCAAGCTTGCAGCATTTTGTGCCAAAGAAGTACGTCGCAAAAAGACCTGCTCGAGGTCATTTGGCGGGAGGGCCGCTTGAAGAACGGATTCGAGCGCCCGGTCTCAACCCCAAGATTGTGCAGCTGCAGCAACTCTACGGCTGCGTCAATGGCTGTGCAGACTGACTTTTCGGGACAGCCCCTTTTGCAGTTGATAGGACAAGGTGGGGCGAAAGGAAGCTTGAAATTATCATCGATCCGGACTGGCCAGGTGAGTTCGTCCCTTGTTTTTTGCCTCCGAGTTAGTCAGATGAACATAGACATGTAAGCAGTAAACAGCATACAAACATTACAAACGCCAAGTACAATTTCGGAACCGGTGCCACAAGTCCCCAGTGGTTAAGCTTCCACAAGCTACAACCATTGGGCCCTGCAGGCCTGGACTTTATAAGGCAAGGACTGAAACTACGGGCCCCGAACCTTGGGAACGCGATGGAAGCAGCAATCACCTCAACGCGGGCCTAAGGGTGAGCATGTGAGCCAACTGTGTTTTGGCACGAGCTCATAATGCTCGCCCTTTTTGGGGCTGTCGATGCCCGCCCACCAAAACATGACTTCGTCTATCTTTTTTCGAAGGATGCGTGCCAGTGGTTGCTCAAGGCCCGCATGGGAGCACCAAACCCACAGGCAGCTTGGGGTTTGCGTCGTGTCGTGTCAGTCTACAATTACAATGAAGCCTTCCGCTGGAGGGGACTGGAGACCCTGTATCGGCGGTTTGCGCGCCTTCCTGGAACTCGTGCCCGCGCGGGCGATGGGCCACAGCTGCCAGTGCCGCCGAACACTCGCACCCTTAAACTTGTAGGGGGCATGGGAACACTGTGCATGAAACCAAAGGTGGGCAAATGCCTTGGATACAGCTTCAACATTCCAAGAGTCCCACATGGGGCGCGGAGCAGCCAAGGGGAATGGCGCTGTCCAGAAGCCTACGAAACTCAAGCCCATATTGTCGTGTACATTCGCATCGGCGAGAGTGGGAAGGAATCCCCAAAACTCACCCACACAGGAGCGATTCTGCACTTGAGGTCGTTATTCACCGAGCCATCCTCGGCTCAGTTGAGCGAATGTCGCGTCCTTTGGTACCGCTTTTGGAGGTTCAGGGCTTCGAGTTCGGGGTTTGACATCTCTGTAGACATCTGCAGACTCTTGGTTGGGAAAGGCTCCAAGTTGTTGAGGTGCACAGGATTACAAAGCTTTACTGCACGCCCCCTGTGCTGCTGGAGGTCTGCAATTCTCATGGAACACTACGTCTGGTTCTTACCATGCCACACAGAGTGTGCAGGAAGAACAAGTATTGCACTTACTCGACACTCCGTGCTGGTGCTGAGGCCGGCAAGTGGCCATTCTGGCTGTCACCACGGCAGGTGCGTCGCTCATGAGGGGATGCGCATTGCGAAGTAGACCTTTATCGAGTTCCCGTGGGTCACCAGCACAATACCTAGTTTAGGCCATGGCCATATGGGTCATGTGGAGACATGGAGATGAACAGAAATGGCCGTCGCATCATGGGCCACCCCACGACATCACACGGATACAGGCAAGACTGCATTCGATCCTCCGCCAATAGAGGTACAAGTGGTGCCTGTTGGGACGCAGTTCAATGAGTACGCCCTTTGGGTGCTGGCCCCAGCCGAAATTGTCTCGCCACACCTTTTAAATGATATTGCACAGGTGGAGAGGCAACTGCAGATCCACGGCTTCTATGCTGAGGCATGCAAGGGCCCCTTAAAAGTAACTTAAAAGTCTTGCTGTCCATCAACACTTCTTCTTTGCATGTGGTTGCCACGCGGTATGCTAGGCAGAGACGAGCGGCAAGACGCTCAACAAAAAGGCCATGGCCTGCCTTGAGCAGGGCGGCCCCCACGCTGTCCTTTCCACTTGAGTCGCTTGCGCCTCGTGGAGCCTTTTATTGTTATTGTTATTGTTATGATGATTATTATTGTTACTGTTACTGTTACTGTTACTGTTATTGTTATTGTTATTGTTATTGTTATTGTTATTGTTATTGTTATTGTTATTGTTATTGTTATTGTTATTGTTATTGTTATTGTTATTGTTATTGTTATTGTTATTGTTATTGTTATCATGATGATTATTATTGTTATTACTATTATTATTTTGTTTATTATCGTTTATACTTGTTGTTATCATGATTATTACTCTTCTTATCATTATTGCTATTTTCTACACACCGATCCCGTAATTGCTGCAATGTTCTCATTCTGGGATGTTGGGGGTTAAGAGTCATGCATGGTCCTGCCTGGACTTTGACACTGAGCGGTTGCAACTGCACTTGCAGCGCAGGTGCGCGAAGCACAGCTTGCACAGTGGAACTACGTAAGGCCCTCATGAAGGATCAGAAGCCGGTCAACTTGGAAGGATGTTTTTTGTACCCCACCTTCGCTGTGGGGCTGTTAGATTTTAAACTCAACTCTTCTCCTCGCCCGGTCTACTCCTAGAGACCCTGGAGTGCCCAACCCCAGAGACTTCAAAATAACTTTTCCTTTCCTCACGCACCACCAGCCAGCGACACTTCATGCAGACTCTCGACAGCTTTGGCTGACTCAAGCTGCAATCTGATGCATTGGTTTTGAGGTGGCTGTGGTGGGCGCCGAGGAGCAAGGTGCTCTGTCCGTGAACCTGAGGCGAGCCCAGCAGAGGAAGGCGAGTGATGCCGGTGACGCATGGGTTAAACCTGAAACGCCCATCATTGAGTGGTTGGCTCAAGTATTTCGACAAGTTATCAAGTCATCAGTGATCATCAGTGGCTTCCAGGCAGGGGGCCATGTCTTGTCCCTGGAAGCTCTGTAAAGTTCAAACCAAGCGGAAGTGGCATCCTCATGCCTTGCTCGCAGCGTGTAGGTAGACACATGCTTCATGTTACCCTCGTTTCTGGGCAAGAGATTGCCTCCTTCAATGCCGAAAGCCTCCATGCCTTGTCCGCCTCAGGAAACAGCCTGACTGCTTTTGCTTTGAAGCAGCACTTGCAGCACATTGTTGGCGCGTCGCCGTTTCGCCAAAAGCTAGTTTCCGAAGGACAAGTCCTGCGGCAAGACGATGCATTTCCGTGCGCAGACGCAGGTTCTATACACGTGCAGCTAGTCCTTTTGCCGACGTGTACCGCCTTCGCCGAAGAGCTCGTGTCTGCTGCCGCCCAAGAGGACGAGGCGACAGTGCGCACGCTGCTGGAGAAGCCGCAAGATCCCGACGGGGAAGATGCTCGTGGAAGAACGGCCCTGTATCTGGCCGCGCACACCGGAAATGAGGGGATAACGAAGCTGCTTCTTGAAGCTGCTGCAGATGCTAATTTGACTGTCAAGGACAGGGGGGAGACGCCCCCGTTGTTAGCTGCGGCAACCACGGGCCATGTGGAAGCTGCCCGGTTGCTTATCAACTCTGGGGCTGACAAAGAGAAAGGGAATGTTTGGGGAACGACACCGCTGCTAGCAGCCTGCGAAGGCGGTCACCTGGACATTGCTCGCTTGTTGATTGACTCGGGTGCTGAGAAAGACAGGACCGACATGTATGGAACGTCGCCCTGTTCATGTGCCGCAGCCGAAGGAAGGCTGGAAGTTCTTGAATTATTGATCCGGAATGGCGTGGACATCAATAAGGCAAACCATTGGCAGGCCGTTCCTCTGCAGATTGCGGCCGAGAAGGGGCACTGTGATGTTGTTGCCCGGTTAGTTGGCGCAGGGTCACACATAGACGAAGTGGATCAACATGGAAGGTCTCCTCTGTTCTGCGCCTGTGAAGCTGGACACCTGGATGTAGCGCGGCTCTTGGTCAACGCCGGTGCGGACAAGAACCAGACGAGCAAGACTGGGCTTTCCCCACTCTCTGTAGCTTCAGAGGAAGGTCACCTCGAAGTCGTACGTTTTCTCATACAGGCTGGGGCCGACAAAGAAAAGTCAAAAATTCGTGCTCGCCATCTGTACTGGCTGCTGATGAACAAAGGCTGAGCACAAGCGGGAAGCTTTGAGATAGCTTGCAGTAGCCTGAACGGGCCACCCGGCTGAAAGCTGAGGTCAAATTGACATGCATCATGAAACTCCGAAAAACTGCGATCCGTGCATTTTGTGCGAGTTTTACAACTGCTCTCTGAAAGAGTTGCCCATGGCTTTGAGTTTTTGCAGGTCCAGGGAGTCAGACAAGCCGCTGGGAGCCTTCTCGATGATTGCCCCTCGACAGTATATGGACATCTTGGCCGGAACATCCGAAAGCCCAGTCCTCACTCAATACATTGATGGGGGCGCGACACGGACGGACAAACCTAGCAAGATCCTCGTCTGGGCAGCCTGGAAAGAAACCGGAGGGGACCCGATTTTGGGATCGTTGCCTCACTCAAGGACTTCATCGCAAAGCTAGACAAGGAGCCTGGCACTTTGTGTTTTTGGCAGGTCTAGCCTGCACATCAGCCACCGCAGTTTCCTTTGCGTGCAAATGCATGCTCGCATAGCTAAGGGCAATGCCGTGCTCTCAGCCGCTTCGACAGTTCGAGGCAGCCATGTGTCTTCCGCTTGCTTCCGCAACCACTTGACTGGTTCTTGCCAGGCATTTCAGGGACGCCTGCCTGAAGCAAAGGTGAAGTGGCCCCGCAACGCTTTTGAAGCGAGAAACTGTGACAGCTAGGTCCCCTCTATGCTCAATTGAGCCTATGCCAGGGCTGCTGAACCTTCTCCCGTCAACGGTCGGGCAAAGGAGCAAAGGCGCGTGATGCGAGCAGTGGGAGATGCGGGGAGACTCTAGCAGACTGTAGCATGCTCCAGCAGCGATAACAGGTAAAGTACAGGTTCGGGCAATGCTTAGCCACCAAGTCCGAGAAACCGCGATAGAAAGCAACGATTCAACTGATTTTTAGTTCTTGCGAATTGTGGATTCGGAAGCGCCGAGTCTTCGCTTCTCGAAGGACTGCCTTTCGGGATGCATGACGTGATCTCACAAATAAGGGACAACGGGGGGACGGGGGGGGGACCAGACTAAGAAATGCTAAGCTTGCGTTCCGAGAGTGAACACGATGTCGGCATGAATCCAGCTCCTCAGCTCCTCTGCACTGAAGCGCTTTCGAGAGCCAGGCCGGCCTTCCAAAAGCAAGGCTCCTTGCAGGTGCGGAAACTCGACTCTCGGCGTGCAATTCATACTAAGAACCCCACCCTGTAATGAATAATGATTAATGATAGTGTGCCACCGTAAAGTGCGGATCACGGCAAAACAGCGGTCGGAACAAAAGGAAAGCATCACAAAAGCGCACTTCCTCAAGGTACGTTTCTACTCTGCATCATCCTGCATGTTGAGCCTGCCCCAGGCAAACGACAAGTTTGCGTCGCTGTCAGTGGATGACGACGTGGAGGCTTCTCCGAAAAATCTCAGTGCAACAACTGTATTAGGGTGTGCAATCACATGGGACTACTCTGCCATTGTGCCTAGAGGGTGGAGAGATATGGAGAGTGGGCTCGCCCTGAAGTCGCCCCAAGAAGCAGGCTCCAGTCGATGCCCACTGGTTCCCATCAAGATTTTAAGACTGGTGCACAGGCTTTCCTGGAGGTGCATCCCTACGTGAAAGGCTTCGAGTCGTGGCCTGAGTTGGGCTCGGCTTTGGCAAGCTTGGTCTGTCCACATCGCTGAGATGCTTTCATCCATCTACCCAAGGCCTTCCTCGGCAGATGCCGAGCTCTTCGAGCAATTGTCGGAGCTTTGACCCCAGGAGATGTCAACCAGCCTAGAAAAAGGGAAGCTCCCTGATTGCAAAGCTCACGGATTGCAAAAGGAACGTGCAGCTTGTGAAGGTAGATGAGCTAGGTGGGTGCCTAGAAGGCTGTCAAGTCGCAAGGGTTGGATCTTTATGCGGTCGCTTGGACAGGTCACGTTGCATCATTCCCTTGACAGAGCTCTTGTGTTAAGGTCTGGAATCCCGGAGACGCCCAATCTCAGGAGAGAATGCGGCATGATGCGGCATGTGCCTCCCAGTTCAAGGCATGCTGAAAAGAGCAGCACACCAACGCACAGCAGCACATCCACTCTCCCATCACCACGGATGGAAGGAGATGGTACGACCACATGGAGTCCTTCTCTGGCTTGGAACGTTCCACTCCTAGCAGCAAGCTGATGACGTCAGATAAGCTTGTCCAAATCTGCTCGAGCGGCTTTCGAGGTTCAACGTGGCCAAAGGCTTAGGAGGCTTAGGCGCACCCGGCTCGTGTGCGGTGTCGTTTTTGTGAACTCGCCCATTGCGGTTGTCACCTGTTTCGGCGCATTACATGCCAGGGGTGGGCAGGCATGGAAGCAGTTTTGACCACTTCAACTGAGCGCGTCGCCTTGCAGTGACTGGGCACGAAGTGCGGATGTGCGAATCCTTGGTTATACCAGTATACGACTCTTGCAAGTGGCTCTGCCCGGTCCACCTGCTGGCTTTCTGCGGGAGCTTCTGCCGCCACGGAGATCCGTGCATAAGCGCAGGCGCAGGTACACTTTGAGCTTGCTCATGGGACTGCCAAGACTGCATGTACAGTGTTACAGAGCTCGGATATCCGGAAAAGGACCGATGTGCAGCTTTTACCTTCCGTTTCTGGGAAAGCTTTAGGTTAAGGTTGATGCGTGGAGTTTGCATGCGCTTTTGCTTCACTCGATCTCAGCAGATGCGCCCTGGCCGCCACTGTAGCATATCATATTATCCTTGCTCTGTGCCGTGCGACATTTCAAAATGCGCACATTAACAACTCAGTGCCCGTTACATACGTACCGGTATCTTGTGAACGAAACCACAAATGTCACAAATCATGCCCCCTGTCTTGTGTATGGCATCAGAACATACGCAACCCAGCAATGTAACCCTGTGTCCGTAACAAAACGTACCCGATATCTTGCAAGCGACATCACACACACAACCCACTGCCCGCAACAAGTCGTACCCCTTGTTTGGTATGCGACATCACAACATACACAACCCATGGCCAGTAACAAATCGTACTCCCTGTCTTGTGTGTGTGACATCACACATACACAGCCCAATGCCCGTAAAACATCGTAGTTTTTTGGGCTGGGCTTTGGCAATCTTGGTCTATCCATGTTTTGAATCTAGAATTTCCTTAGAAA